CGTCGAATGGAAATTCAGGCAATCAAAAGATATAATTAAGATTGAAATTATGAATGTTTTGCAGGTTTTGACAGGCGTATATTTGTGCATTACCATTTTTATTTAAATTAACTATATCAGGGTTGTAATTACTGTAGTTTGAAACAGAGCGAGGTCATTGCGGTTGTCATAATTTAGGTGCTACACACAAGCAAATACACATAAGGGGTAACAGTAAATGTTTTACAAAGCCTCTTTCCATACTCCCCACGAAAATATTAACAAGTGTGAAGATGAAACATCAAGAGTACTGTGCAACCACATATTGGAGAAGTGGTGTAACTGAGATGTAAATACTTCAAATTCTTATGAACTTTACCAAATTTCAAATCACAAAATTTTACCAAAATCAACTGCAACAACAAAAATCGACTTTTCAACTTTATTTACAACTATTCCCATAGATAAATTGAAGTCACGGCTTGATGATATCATTGACAGCTGCTTTTTCAATAAAAACGGATCTCGTGAATTTACTTACCTTGTCTTTGGTCATTTGCAAAATTATTTTGCTAAAAATATTCTGATTGAACAAGCAAACACTAGACGTAAATTGTAATTTAAGAACGAAGTTTTATGGTAAACAAGTCGCATAAACTTTTCAATCGACAACTTCCCTTACCTTTGCAGCATATACCTCCATCACCTGCATACGACATTTATTATTCTCAGTGGATTTGATACGCTAGAAAATGCTCTACGAAGGAATTATTTCTAAAACGGGGTAATTTAATGACAAACAAGTTATTGGTCTATTTATGGTTAATTTATTACAATCACCTTGTCAGCAAACCGTTAATTTCCGATCATAACAAGAGACAGGGCGAATATGACCGGTCAGCAGGGGATGCTCACATCTTCATGGTAGCATATCCCACCTCTGTATTTTTAAAGGTCCGTGTTTAACTATGCTTCTCAGAATTTAAATCTAAACAGGTCAGTTAATAAAGGGGAAGGGCAATAAGTGTCAATCGGAATTCCAATACTTTGATGGGAGACCTGGTTTCCAGATTGAGTATCATTGATGTTGTGAAAGAGAATCTAGCATAGTTCTGATAACAATTTCGGAGCATTTTTGTTGTAGAGTCAAAGTGATTTAACGAAATAATTTTTGCTCTTCAATCAAAGATATTAAAATAGGACTTCCATTTATGTTGTTACTTATGAAAAAATCTTTTTATTCGAAATATTGAAAGGATCAAAGATGTCTGACTTTAGGACATTTAAAATATTTTTTATCATTATGGTTATTCAGCTACATTACAATCTGCAGTAATTGCGCGTCAAGAAGACAACTGTTGAAAGTGCAATTGATTAATTGATTGATTATATGAAGTTTTCCTCCCATTGGAGATATTTTCACTTTTCAAGAAACGCATAGACGAGAACGATATTTATTATATACCTAATGTGTATCACTCAATTTTTCTGTTGATTTTACGCAATCACGTGACGTCGTGTTCCGACTTTCCGGATCACCACACTGTGGTTTTCTGAATCCATATCACCACTCTCTGAAACTGATGACGTAGTACGCAGAAATGTGACGTTATTTTTCTTGCGCGTTAAAAAGTTCCTTGTTATTACGCTTCGTCTTATGTAAAAAAATATTATACAATTAATCTTTAAAATTTTATTTTGCCAAATTTAGCCAGTAATAAATGGGTATATAATAAATTTATCATTATAACAGTAACTTGATCCGAAGAGCCGTATCACGTCTCGGTGACAGGCGCGGATCATCAGATCAAACCCAACGCTTCGCGTCTCGTTTGATCTGACGATCCGCGCCTGTCAACTCGACGTGATACGTCCCTTTGGATCAAGTTACTGTTATAATAATATGTATTTATCAGAATTTAATGTGTTTTGCGTGTGTTGAAAAGAAATAAAATGTGTAAATGTGTAATTTTGGAGTTTACCTGTAAAGTACATAGATTGATTATATACAGTGGACCTTCAGATACTGTAAATCACTTTTTATTCGCTAGAACTTTAATTTCGCGTAATTTCGCGAGACAGTTTGCTCGCGAAAATTTATTTCTCGCGTATAATAGTATTCCTTAAGATTATATAGAGCAATAACCACAATTCGTGAAAAATTTGTCTCGCTTATCAAGAGTCAATGACTATTTCGTGAAAATAAGGTTTCGCGAAAATTTAGTGATCTACAGTATCCGGACCCCAGATATCCGGATGCTTCAGTATCCGGACGATATTTCATCGGGACAGAATTTTTAAATGTTATATTGTCTTGCTTAACTGGTGATTCAGGTATCCGGACGCTTCACATATCTGGACTAATTGACTGGGAACCAAAGCGTCCGGATGAATGAGGCTCCACTGTAATTAATTTTTATGAAAAACACGGAAAATGACAAGCAAGAAATTTCTATTGCTGCAACTGTTTTTTCTTTGTGATGTATTTGAGTACGAAATCTAAAATAAACACTTTGAAAATTTATGTTTATTTTCATGTGCAACCTTAAACACTATGCGACACTTACAGGTCAAAAACATCGACATTCGTAGTTGACACTGTAAGTGAAGCCACTTAGTACAAGTGTATACTTAGAAGATCGTCAAAAATATATCCAATCACAAGCATTATTTTTTCTCTGACAGCAGATTTGTGTTCAAGATCTAAGGAACTAATTTAGACACTGAAAGATTCTTTCATTTGTTCTTCTCTACATATTATCACTCCTTGAATCTTGAATAATTTTTAAATAAGCCTATCCTCGTGTTGATTAGCGGAAAGCGTGTGTCTATAACAAATTTTTGAATCATTTTGTTGTGTAATATTACCTAATATTTACATTTCCAATAAATTTCCCCTAAGATCCTTTACAAAATAAAATGCAGTATATCTTCTCATGAACTACATTAGGTATGTATCACGAATAAGCATGACTATCTCCATTGTTACGTCATAATACCGTTCTTGACGTCAAAAAATCAAAAAATATAGTGCACACTGTGTTGTTTAAAAATGACAGTTGAACGTCGTAAATTTATGGCAAGTTATCAGCAAAATAATGTAAATATAAGAAATGAATTTGATTTTTTGAAGATTCATGAGGTATATGAACTACAACGCTTCACGCCGGCATATTTATCAAGAAGCGCTAACGCGCTTCATGAAATATGCATGCGTGAAGCGTCGTAGTTCATAACCTCATGAATCTTCAAAAATTAAATTCATATCTTAATTGAACTTATTAATAAGCTTATGCCAGACAATTATTATTATTTTTCGTTATTTTTCCAACTGTCTGATTGGCTCAAACTAGATCACATGATCGAGTATAAAAAGTGTTACACACTGGATGTCTCTATTCGAAAAATTTATAAACCCGCTGTTTCTAAAATTGAAAACATTCTTTTGTGAAGCAACAATAGTGCTGACGTCACAATGGTCTTTATAGACTGGATGTTTCTTAAAAAAAGATACTGTAGCTGGTTTTCATTACTGTGACGTCATAAAGCAATGACATAACAATGCCTTCTATGAGAAGGTACTGATTATTATAAAGAAGGATTTTAAGGTAGAGATTGATACGTTGTCAACAAAAAAACTACCAACTTATTTTTTCTGAATTTTTTATATGTTTGTGTTGAGTCCTTGTTCTAAATCATATAAAAAATTCAAGGTAGATCATCGGGCTACTTTAAGAGAAATTTACCAATTTTTATATAGCCTTCATCAACCACCGAAGAGCTGAAAAAGCAGAGTAAAATAAAATAAGAAAACGATATGAAAAAGGCTGTAAATTTTTTATTGCTGTATCAATTATCATTTGTCTTATATGAATTCAAACATCTGTCTATATGGATAGATATTTGACATCAATCTTAAGTTTATCAAGCATTGTAAGCGAAAAACAGGATTACATTAAAAAAAATGCATGGTCAGATTAGGTTAAAATATTGCCTATTCATTGCACAAAGACTATGTTGGGCCAACATTGGCAAAAGGTTGTATGGTTTGCGTTGGGGGAACAACGTTGGGCCAACGTTGGACCAACGTCACCATGCCAACCTTCTCGACCATGACAGAATGCCTATGTTGGCCCAACGTTGGTCCAACGTTAGCAACTTCCATTCACTTTACTTTCCAAGGAAGGAGGGATGTTGAAGTTGGCCCAACGTTGGCCCACTGTTTTTAATACACCCTTCAAGAAAGTGTTTTTAAAAGTTGGTAGTAGTATGTTGGCCAAACGTTGGCCCAATGTTTGTAATACACCCTTAAAGAAAGTGTCTTTTAAAGTTGGTAGTAGTATGCTGGCCCAACGTTGGCCCAATGTTTGTAATACATCCTTAAGAAGTGTCTTATCAAATTGGTAGTAGTATGTTGGCGCAACGTTGGCCCAATGTTTGTAATACATCCTTAAAGAAAGTGTCTTATCAAATTGGTAGTAGTATGTTGGCCCAACGTTGGCCCGATGTTTGTAATACACCCTTAAAGAAAGAGTCTTATCAAGTTGGTAGTAGTATGTTGGCCCGACGTTGGCCCGATGTTAGCACGAGTGTTCTTTTGTTTAGGTGTTTCAAAGATGGGATATTTATATCGGGCCAACGCTGGCCCAATTATTATACTGCCAACTAAATGATGGTGTCATTTTTAGCTGCTGAGCTTAACGTTGGGACAACGTTGGTTCTAATTAAGTTTTAATTTAGATGCACATTCTGAAATAATTAAGAGGACATTCTATGTCCATGCTTTTAACTTTGTGACTGTTTTTGTTTCGATCTGATATTTTCAATATTTGAACTTTGATCACAGAACCAAAGAGTGTTTTATTATATTTTTTGAATCGTGCATATGTATGCTTATTTATTTGAAATAAAACCCTTGAAATTATTAATTTTTTCATGAGCGTTGTATTCATGAGAATTTAGAGAAGACTGAATAAGTTCTCAGGAACAGGATGTGATTGAAGCCTACATATACATAAATCAAAATGACACAGCTTTATAATTAAATTGAAACAAAAGTTAGGCGTTCGCTAAAGATTGGAGAGTGTGAATCAAAATACACCAAACTGTGGAGTGAGTTGTCAGATTCAACTGCTCACAGGTGGTGAGGTCATAGTCTGAAAATGCAGGGCAAGCAAGAAGAAGTGGAATTTAAATTTGTGGATTATACACTTGCTTTAGCTGCATTTAGATGCGATGTAAGTATATTTATTCTTATTTATTCAGGTTAACTGTTAAAATTGATTCGGAATTCATTCTTTTCATGTTTTTGCACACAAGCACTATACGTTAAGGTTATCAAAATAACATCTTTCAAGTTGTTTCTATCTAATTCTTAACTGTCTATTACGGACACGATTGTAACAAGGGAATTAGGTGCACTTATAGTACAATACATTATTCTCTATATTAAAAGATTTAAGTAATATTTATCAAACTGTTTTGTATTTTCAGTCAGAGACTGCAAGGAAAGCAAATGTTGTGGCGGTAAATAACAATTAAATCGAAGACCATGCATAAAGAAGTGTATAAAGTACGAGTACGCATGACAAAGATCAAGATGAAGAAAACGGGAGGCGACGAAGGACGGAAAAAGAGCGGGAATACAACAAAAGGACAGTAATAAAGGAAGTGAGCCCTGATTAAGAATTTTGAATTGATAATTTTTCATAATTTACCTCTATTGTCTATTTTAAAATTTATTTTGTAAATTATGATTGAATTGATGTACCGGTATATAAAATATTTTCACAGTGAATCATTAGTAATGTTTTCATTGAACATGTCCATGTATGCATTATGAATGCGGATTGAATTGTGTATCAATTTTTTTAAACAGTCATAAAATAAGTTTATGTAAAGCATCACTTAAGCCCAACAACTTGCCATCTGACATTGTAAAAAAGGGTCGACATTGGGCCAACGTAACCAACCAGTTGTTAAGGTTGGCTGTTAGGTGGCAAACACTAAAAACTACGTTGGCCCAACAATATACTATCTGACAATTCAACAAAGGGCCAACGTTGGGCCAACCTAACCAAACAGTTGTTAAGGTTGGCTGCTAGTTGGCATACACTTATAACTACGTTGGCCCAACAATATGCCATCTCACATTTCAACAAAGGGCCAACGTTGGGCCAACCTAACCAACCAGTCATTAAGGTTGGCTGTTAGTTGTCATACAATTATACCTACGTTGGCCCAACAATATGCCAACATGTTGGACCAACGTTGGGCCGATGAGCAAAATTACCATGGGCCAACGTAAGGTTACCAACAATGGGCCAACGTTGGGAAAAAAATTGGGCCAACGTTGGCCCAACTATGTCTTGCTATCTGGGATAATGTAGTTAATTTATAAGTATCTTAAATTTCAGAAAAAAATAATACTACATAATTGGGTTTAAATTCATCCTGGGACAAGTTTATTATCTTACACCCTACCCTACCCCCTTCCTCTAGAAGGATGCGGTTTTGAAGAATATGGTGACTAAGAGAGATTATGAAGAATTTATCGAAATTTTTTACAGAAAATGAGTATATTCTATGTAATATTCTTCTAAATTACATTCAATTTCCCAAAACAATTTATACATGTACACTTAGACACTTGTTGTCCTGGTTGACCTTTTTGCACTTACAATAAAAAAAGATAAGAACTTTCCTCTATATCATTCAGATTGACTTTGACAGATTTATTATACATATGATTCTTGGATGAATTATCAATGACAATATCTGTTGACGAATTCTGTGTGTAAATAAACTTGATTTGACAACAATAGTATTGAATTCACTCTTCTTTAACAATTCATTTTATATTCCAAATACATCTAAAAAATGTATAATAAAACCTCGTGATCATGAAGTTTTATACAAAGAATCAATCCACGTGACAACATGTTATCCTTGTTTCAAAAATATTCAGATAAAAATGTGTTATGTATTACACTGTTAAATGAGGACTGCCTGGTCATCAGTTGTCAGATATTAACACTAAAGAATCACATAGTAAAAAGTGTTGGTAAATGGAGAGTGGTTTGGTTATCATTTCATACATACAAAAATAGTGCAATAACTAATCAAAAATAAAAAGCATATAATGTATAAGAGGTAATAATTTGTAACTTTAAAGTATAGATTTTGCAAACAGATTCACAAAAGTTAGAGGAATCCCACCATAAACTGTATATGATGGTGTACAATTTTAAAACTCAGGATGTGGTTCAACAAAATAATGTGGATACATTCAGTATATGTACAGTAATGTGATAAACTTGCTATTTTGCTTTTTATCTTATTGGCTAACAAAGATCAATGTAAACATGTATGCATGGTAAGAGTTACATGTATTTTCCTTTTGTTATAACCCGTCCGGTCAGGCGCCCCCGGATCTTTAATATTTACTAATTTACGGCCTGGATTTACTTTTATATTATTTTGTTTCTTTGTGTAATCAAAGCGGTTTTCATTATTATTATTATTATTATTGATCAAACGTATTTTGGGGGCTAAATTTCTATAATGGTAATTATCGCATTCTTAAATTTTGTATGATATTGTTTCATTTTTTTTTTTACGTTTTTTAAAATTGTAAAAATCAGTCTTTTACATTAGATGTCTATCTTTCGAATGTCAATATAAGTCTCGTTAATGTCCTTCTAAGCAGATATTAAATTTCAAAAATTATATTTGGTAACAAAGTGAACCATTTAAAGGTTGTATAAATAAATTATTCCTTATGGGTTTAGGGGTTACAATTGTCTGGTACAGTACCAACCAGACCCACCCAGACAGGAAAAAGTCCCAGAGCAGTTCCAGATACTACTCTCTTACTTAAGTTAAGGTTTCAGAGCAATCTCAGATGAGTTCCAAAAGGTCCCAAAGGTTCCATAAAGCAGTCCCAGAAAGCATCCTTATATATTCCAGTCCACGTATGCAGGGTTATTTAATCTAATGGACAGAGCTTAATCCTAAAATTTAGATTGCACACTGTATCAGCAATCAATTACAGTAATTAAAAGGCAGCTGAAATTAATGATACACTTCTTTGTTAGGAGAAAGTTTTATTATGTAAATGTTTACCGGGTATGTAACGTGTGTAGTGTAACATGTAGTTTATATTGAACATTCTTATGAAACAGTTATTTATGAATATATAACAAAATTACCATATAACAAGTAAAAAAGAAGAAAAAAAACCTTCACATTAAATAATGTTATTTAGTATATTAATTTCATACCAAATTTAACCATTTTTATTTACTGGAAGTGGTTACCCTATTTTTTTTAAAAGAAAAGAATCACATGCTATACAAAATGAATTGCTTTTTTAGACTCTAATTTGATGATTTTGAAATAGATCCTGCAATTGAGTTAGCAAGAGCGATATCCATATTACTCTAAATACGTTTTTCATTGACAACAGAGTTTGAGAAGATATATCATGAATCTGATGACAGTCAATTCTTTTTCATATTACGCCTACTATTACTATCTGGTAAACAATTTCGCCCATTCTTTATCGTTAAAATCTTTAATAATTACCAATTAATACAGTTTAAAAAAATTTCAGATAAAATTGTTAATTTTATAGATTAAAGTGTAAATCTTACAACATTAAAGTAAAAAAATCACAGATTAAACTGTAAACTTTACAGATTTAAGTGATAATGTTGTCAGTAGAAGTACCAGCTGCATCAAAACTTTTGTTGCCATTGTCTAACTGAATCGCTGCATTACTGGATCATCAGAACTGTCAGAAAGACGTCCACTACTGCTATTGACAAAAAAGTTGAAAAACAAGAAAAAACAGGAAGCTGTCCCGTGATCATTAAAAACTAACCCTTTCTCTCTCGTTTTTCACGATCTCACTCACTCACTGAGAAGATACGAAGAAGTATTATCTATTTTTTAAAAAAATATTTCGAGTGACACTACCATTAAATGTGGGGTTGATACAGTATACAGTTACCAAATGACGAAATATTTAAATAGCAATAAATAAAGCTTCTAACAAAACGAAGGAAGTCCTAGATACTAAAAATTCATCAATGTTGGGGAAGGGGAGTTATAAAAAAAATGCACTTGACTGCACCCCACTACTTCCTCCAACCCCCTACTCCCGGTAAAAAAGAAATACAATATAATTATTTACGTCTGGTATATCTATAATTATTTCAAAAAGGTTCAAATAAACCTAACTCACTACTCTCTAACCATTATATGCAGAAATAATTTAATGCTTCAATTAATGAATAAATATTTGACAATAAAAAGTTCACTTCAGTTACACAATGTTAATTTTATAATTAATTGTTTCCTAGCACCAACACTTTTTAAAATTAGACACGATATGTCTTTTGCCAAGTTTGAAGCCGTTTTAAAGTTAAGATTAAGAAGCCTACTAAGATATAAAACACAGGAAGAAACAAGACCTTTCAGTTAAAACTGAATGGCGGCTTTCAGTGACTTTTCAGTGGCCATTCAGACTGAATTCAATAAAAACTTGCAACTGAATGATAACTGAAAGGTCACTGAAATGTATGTGCCATTCAGTCGACTAAATGGTAATTTAATGATCACGGAAGGGTCACTGGAAAGGGTCTTTTCAGTGACCTTTCAGTGACCATTCAGTGTGGATTCATTTACCATTCAGTCGACTGTATGATGGATTTTCATCCTGTGAAAAGCTTCGATAGCTTCAGTTTAAGAAAGTTTCTATCTTATGATATGCATTAGTACTACAATAGCTTCATAATTATGCATGCCTGCAGGTCATGATAAAATATTTTAGATTTTAAAGACATACAAGCAAAACGTTTTGTATTATGTGTACAATGAACAGAAAATCCACTGTATTCACTAGAAACATCGTCAATATTAAGACATGAATATCTTATGAGTATATGAACTGTTCTAAAGAAAAGTTTTTAAACCAAAGATGACGCATGTGATGAAGCTGATGTATAAGCTATAGGCAAAGATCATGCAATAATGAAGGCATTTAAAGTCATTATTTGGTCTTCAGATGACTATATAAACTTTGGAATCAAGAGAGTATTTTAACGCTATATAAACAGATGAATATACGAAGTCTGGAGCCATTTTACATTTCCCGCTTAAAAAATGGGAGGTTATATATAGTAATAGGAGTGTCAGTCCTCTGCCTTTCGTCTATCTGTATGTCCGTCCGTCTGTTATACATTGGTGTACATATATCTGATCCGTAACTTCTCTTGTACCAATGATTGAAATCTAATGATACTTTCACAGATTCTTTATCATTAAATAATGCCATTGTGCATCTCCTGTTTTACCTTTTGTTTTGACTCCTATTATTTCGGGTTTTACAGAGAAAACATGGACTCTGCCATTTTAATTATATGGGAAGCAGGGTTAATCATTTAGTGATCTCAGTGCATACAGTGTCTCTAGTTGTTATGTGCTGTTCGTTCAAAGCGAGTAAAAACTGCTCTTCCTATAGAGTAAATGAATTCTTTCATATATTTTCT